TATTTCTTGAATTTTTTGGTTTGTCTTTTCCTCCATTTCGTGTAATTTTTTGTTTGCTTTTTCTTCTATTTCTTTAAGAGATTTTCTTGTTTCCTCTTTAAAGGTCTCTATCATCTTGCTGAGATAATTTTTGAGGTCCATCTCATCTTCATGCTCTGTGATGGGCTTTTCAGATCTTGCTGGAGTGGAGTACCTAGATTCTGGTGGTGTCATATTGGTCTTTCTGTGGTTGAGTGAAATCTTATTCTGTCTTCTTCCCATATCTTCTTTTAGTGGGCGAAGGTGGGGCCTCTCTATCTCCTCTTGTGACCCAGTGTTGTGTGGGGGCCAGGAATTCAATGTTCACAACTCTGGATGGTCTTGTCTCCCCTGGTAGTTTCCTCACTCGTTGTGGATCGGTTGGCGGAAAGAGATGGAAGAGTGGGGTGTTTCCAGATTCAGGGAACTCCTCCTTGTCTGTGCATGTCTACCCCAAGCAGGCAGGCTCAGGCCAGGGGTGGTTGGGGTGAGTGATGGTTTGGGTGGGGGTTGGGTAAGGGAAGAGGCTTACTCACCTCCTTCCTGTATCGGTGGGCGGAAAGGGATGGAAGAGTGGGGTACTACCAGATTCAGGGATCAGGGAGGTCCTCCCTGCCTGGGTGTGTCTACCCCAAGCTGGCAGGCACAGGCAGGGTGTGTGTGTGGTAGGGGTGAGTGATGTTTTGGGCGGGAGTTCGGTAAGGGCAGAGACTCACTCACCTAGTTCCTGGGTCGGTCGTCGAAAAGGGTATGTCAAATGTTCTTACCCATGTATGGATCCCAGCTTTGAATTTTTATATTTATTTTTATTATTTTTTAATTATGTATATATATGACAGTCGAGGTAAGGTATATACATGTGAGTGGAGGTGCACACTACTGAGAAGTATCTCAAAGGGAACTGCTTAGAACAAATAAATGTAATTAACAATTCAATCTTGATGTCTATACTCAATCAGTTGTAGTATAACTCTCATAGGTGTAGTCAATTATGTTCTGACTAGATTTAGGTCCAGTTAAATAGAAAGAATCTATGATTGTATAGGTTTAGCCTGGCTGAAAAATCTGTGACTTAGGATATTTCAAGCTGCAACATGAAGACCTTATATGATGTTTTGTTAAGTGAAAGTACTTTCCTACAAAAAGGTAAAAAACCCACCAGAACAATGACAACCACCACACACACACACACACACACACACACACAGACACACACACACACACACACACACACACACACACAAATCCTTTACACATCTGGATTTGCACCTTACATTACTGACCTATTGGCCTAATATGTAGAAACAAACACACTTTACTGTATTCCCTGAGTCCTGGCCAAAAAAAATTGCAAATGTTAAACTTTTCTGACAAAAGAATGTTCCTATGATCTTGTGTGCAATGCTCAAAAACAGTGACATAAGTATGTGATCCTAACCAAGATACAGAGACAGACACTTAAGTATCCAAAGAGAAGTGAAAGTCCAGGACACAGACATTTTACTAGGGCATAGAATTCACAAAAGTTTTGATGGAGAAATGATGTCTATAGTGATTTTCAACTTAATTTGGACCCTAGTGACAGCCTCAAAATAATGTTAATAGGTCATATTGACTGCTTTCGTCATGAGGCTCTTTGCATTTCCTGAAGACAAAGAGTCATAAGGTCTTCACCTTCATTCCTGATGTTACTTCTTCTTGCCTCCTAGCAGTATGTGGCCTTGAGGACGGTTCACTGGCCTATATATGGGGTTAGAGTATTTACTAGAGATGGGGACTGCAGTGAAGCAGCCAAGCTGTGCCAGGACACCTCAGAGATGCCACTGTCTTTATCTAAACCGTGCTTCCTGTAAGTAATTCTTTCCTTGTGTTCTTTTAAGTACAAAGACTCTGGTAATTGGTATAGAAAGCAAATATACTGCACACTCTTGGATCAGTGGTTGTCAAAAGGAGTCTTCATTCCAGGAGATATGTAGAAATCTAGAGAAATTTTGCATTTTCTTAATTGACCTAGGTAGAAAGAGATTTTTTTTCAGTATCTAGGAGAAAGAACAAGTATTTTGCTTACACAACCTAAGATCACTAGAGTATGAAATAATCAACCTGAAAAAGTCTAATTGCAGAAATGAGACATTTGACTGGAATTAGTTAACAGAAGATTGCATACAGAATTTGTAGTAACTGTAGAAGTAAGAATGTACAATCTTTTAGTTTCTGGATCTGTGCTATGAGACTTTTAACTTGAGTGAACTTAATCATGTTTTCTAATGTGGGGATTTTTTCATTCAAATAAAATACATTTCAAAAGGGGTATTATGGTAATATTACCTTTTTTTCATGAGATTTCTAAGTAAATGAATTGGTAACAAACATGAATTATATTTTAAGAGAAAAAATCCAGTATCATTAGCTCCTTTTGTTCAGGTTAAACTGTGGGTATCTTTCACTTAATAAATGGAAAGACTTTCCATGTACTTAGTGTATAGATGTGTATCTACCATGCATAAGATAAATTAGGGAAAGCATCATGTTTTTTTAAGTTTAGTTACACATTAAGAAATAGCCTTCCCCAGAGAAGAGTACACCAATATTATCTAATACCAAATAGCCAAACCTAAAATTGTATGTATGTAAATATTGTTATACAGACTTAGTGCATTGTGTATCTGAAGTTAATAAGACATACATATATGCATATATATATATATATATATATATATATATATATTCACATGTAACAACAAAAGAACAGAAAGTTGTGAATTTGAAAGAGGATAGGGACATGTGGGATAGAGAGAGAAAAGAAGGAAATTATGTAATTATAATAATCTTTAAAAACAAAAACTATCATTTGAAATATGTTTATCTGATTTGTTATATTTTGCTTATAAAAACTTGATGGTTTCATTGGATACTATGCAAGGATACTATGCAAAGTTTTCTGATGCTTTAGTTATTTTTGAATATTTGTGATTAGTGTTTTTTCCTATGAATTAGTCTTACGAGTACCCTGATTTTATTTTGAACATTTTTAATTACATTTATCAAAGGTTCTATACAAGAGGCAATTTTTCAGACTTGTTCACTAAAAAAAACAAATTTTTCAATTTTATAGTAGCATGATACTGTATCCTCTTGAAAGCATTAATTATTGGTATTTTAGAGTTCTATTTTTGTCTACCTATAACAATGTAATTTGATAATGACACAATAACACTCTGTATTATCAGGAAAACTCATTTATATCAGGTTGCTTTGCAGAGCAAGGCAAATAATAAAATAAAGATTATTGGGGCTTCTGTGGTCAAATTCTCAAACGTAAATCTTGATCTCCACAAGTCTTCCCAGGAGAAAAGCATACCCATTGGTTATCTAATACCAAATGCTCCTCCCTGAAACTGTTATGTACAACAAACACTATATGGTTTGCATACATATTTAGTATATATATACATACATATCTATGAATGTGTTATTGTATATACATATATGTGCATCACAACAGTTAATGAGAAAAAGAGGCCATGAACTTTAAAAATGTCAAGGAGAAGTATATGGGGGTCTTGAGAGGAGGAAAGGGAAGGGGTAAATGATGTAACTATATTAATTTCAAACATTAATGGAAAAATAATGTCTTGTAGGAAGTGATAATTGAAAACCAGCATAGGTTCTTCATAAATTCTTACAACACTGAACTAAAAGATAATTTAATCTTCTAATGATGAAAATTTCATAATTATTTCCAATACCAATCCCAGACTGTGGGAAGTCACTAAGTTCTGACACTATATACCTGTGCAAACATGACAATAATCACATCTTTACAGGGAAAGATGCTTTTTCACTCTGCTATACAGTATCAAATCACACAGTGCCTTCCCGCACTGGGCAAAGGTGATTGAATTTCTTTTGATAATTTTGGGTGAATGGATCTGAATGCCTCTTGCTTCTGTTAGCAGGGGCACTTCTGCTGCTGGTGGTGTCAAACCTCCTTTTATGGGAGAATGTGGCCTCTGTGCCTTTGAATAGCAGTGATATTATTGATGATCAACTTTACCTGAAAGAACTGTTTGATCATGCCATGGAAGTGTCTCAGAATATCAGTACGCTCAACATTGAAATGCGTAGGATATATGTAAGTGTTTCTCTTATATATGCTTTATAGTTATGAAACAAATTACCTTTATACCTTACATAAAGGTGTATTACAGTAATATACCTTCCTAATAATAAAATAAAACTGAATTTATTGAAAACTGAAGAAAGAAAAATGGGGTGCATTTTCTGAAATCTCAAAGACTTTTGAAGAATTCAATGAGTTTTGGAATTTTTCCCTACTTATTTTTAAATTTTCTTAAATTTTAACTTGGGGCATAAAAATCTAATAGACACAGCTTAGAAAGAACTCTGACTTCCTTACTTTGTTTGCTAGAGGCCAGTCTCTGTTAGCATCTTTACCTAGCACACAGTAGACATACAATAGAGGAGAAATACATTAAAGTGAGCCACATGGAATTAATGAAACTAATATAAATAGGGATGGTATGTCTAGAGGAAAGAAACAAACAACAAACAAATAAATCCAACATTAGCTTCTCAAACTTTAAACACTGGGAGTCCTCATTTAACGAGGTACAAAATATGAGTTTATACACTTATAATGCAAGTTTAGAAAAGGAGTGGGTTTTCTGTTCCAGGGAACTACGTGTTCATCAGTCAATATCAAGTCGATATACAAGACTTCTATATAGAAATTAGCATCCATAGAATGTGTCTCTTTTTGCAATAAATGTGCATTTATGCTGTCTTTTAACTCACTAGTTTTTCCTCATCCTATCTCAGACCACCAGTCAGTCATCTGCAAAATATTTTGAAAAATTTGTAAGTACCTCACTTGCTTCCACCTTCTTTCCCCTAAGCCTTCATGTTAATGATGTTGTGTTGCTTCTTTTAAAATATCTTTGTACTTGAAATATAATACTTTAATAATTGTGTCCAAGGAAGAAATCTGATTTCATGACCTTGCTTCTCTGAAGCCAGTCTCTATTGACATATTCACTTAGCACACTGGGACATCTAATAGAGAAGTGCAGTGCATTGAGTCACAAGGAATGAACAGAATGAATCTAAACTGTGAAAATTCAAACAGAAAATAATTGAATGATATAAACTCTCATAAACTCTATATCCTGAGATTCATAAAGTTTTCTAGATCACAATTTAATTCACTGGGAAGGCTGGATTACAGAAGAAATAGGCTCTGTCTGTCTGAGGACTGTATGATATCTGTTCAAGGTCAGTCAGGGTCATGGAGGAGATACTGGTAATGGCTTTAGGACAGAAATGGTTACTCAGAAAAAGTTGTTTTTTTCTAATAAATATGTACTCTTGTTATCTATTTACTCACTTTTTTTTTTATCTTGCCCTCATCTGGACTCAGCTAACTTCATCATCAATGTCATCCAACCAATTCGTAAGTGCCTCAGTTATTTGCATCTTCTCCCTCACAAAAGCCTTCATGCTTAATAACATTACCTGGCCTTACAAGAGAAAGCATTGAAGATCAAGTGTCAAGTAGGACACATTCAAGGTGCATCATGATATGACATTCTTGTACTATTACACAAGAAAGCCTCCAGCAGTAAAAGGCAAAAATGAGAATGGGCAAGCTTCAGATTATTTGATAGAAAGAAAGGAAGGAAGAAGAAAAGAAAGAAAGAAAGAAAGAAAGAAAGAAAGAAAGGGAAAAAAGAAAGAGTGATTTGCATGATTTTCTATAAATTTATTTACTTTCTATTAAAACTTATTATTGTAAAATAAAAGAATAATTATATTGGACAGAAAGAACTCTGATATATGGATCTAGCTTTTAAGGAACAAGAAACATTTTCACTTAGTTCACTGAAGATAACCCAGAAGGTTGAAGTTCATTGAAGTCAGTTGGGTGTAAGAAACAGAACCAATACCAGTGGAAACCATGTCAAGAGTGAAGAAAAACCATAATTGGTTTTCAGAAACTTCCAGAGTTAGGAATACTGTAAAGAGATCTCCAGAGTTCATTCAGTAGGGGCTAGTTGATAGGGCAAAGCAGGATCTCTTCTCCTGATGACTGCATGTTATCTGTTCAAGGTCAGTCAACATAAAGGAGAAAAAAAAATAAGGCTTTGGTAAAACAATGGATATCAAGAAAATGTATTTCTGCATTTCCCATAGATGTGTTATCATTGTATTTTTACTCATAAGTTTCTTATTCTTTGTTCTTTACTGACCCTCTTTTAAATTATTGACATTACTGTTAATCCATTAAAATTTTACATACTAGTTAATTATTAGTTTTAGGTAATAAATTGGTAATAAATAATAAATTTTAAATTAATAATTTATTACATTTAAAATAAAATCTTTAAGATTATTGTTAAATATGTTAATAATTAATAAATATTTTGTTGTTTTATTTCATTACTATTTCCTAAAAATAGCTTGCTATATCTAATTTTGTCAAACATGACACAATTTCAGTCACAATTTATGATTAATATTGAATTGTAGTGGTGTACATATTCACTTATAATAGAAAGAAAACATACAGTTAAAAGGTATACATCAATTTGGATATATAAGAACTAAGAGATTAATAAATATTCACACAGTATACCATGACACTATGCCCAGATTCTACAGAAAAGTGCTCTCTTAGACACTTTGTATTTATCAGTTCAGTTATTTTATAAGGCTTTCCTTTGAGATAGAAAGATTTAGGGAAAATAAAAAAATAAGATAAGATTAAATAGGACAAAGGGTTGGGGGACTGATATTTAGATGTAAACCAAAACGAGATTACAGACCCAATTAAGAAGAAAGGTATCACCGGGTATTGATGGTGCATGCCTTTAATCCCAGCACTCAGGAGGCAGAGGCAGGCAGATCTCTGTGAGTTCCAGGCCAGCCTGGTCTCCAGAGAGAGTGCCAGGAGAGGCTCCAAAACTACACAGAGAAACCCTGCCTTGAAAAACCAAAAAAAAAAAAAAATAGAAGAAAGGTATCAAAATGTTCACATTGTTAAGTTTTAAATCTTGGATTTTTATGCCGATTTCTTTTTTTAAAAGCACACATTTATTGATGAGTACATTAATATTTTATTGTGGCTTCATTGGCTTGTTTTTCAAATGCAAATGAACTGAATATTAATTTTTATTATACAGATGCTTGAGTTTCTTGGAAATCAGAAGTTACAATCTAAAAATCTCATCTCCTGCCACAATTATTCCATCAAGACACCAGAAAACATGGACAAAGCCCAAGAGATCTCTGTAAGTCTATAGTTTGATTCTTTTACCTAAGTAGCTGAAACAGTACACTGGCTTTACTTTGTCATGCTGCAGGTTTTTATAAGTATTGTAAGGGATGTGGAAATTATACTTACATGAAAATGGACTGAGAATGAACAAAGAGCCATGATGGATACTTTATATCAAATAAGCAAATACTTAGTAATATTGTAACAGGTGAATAAATTGTCCATTAAGAGGATTTTAGATTAATGATATCTCACCATTAGACTTTACATATTAACAACTGCAATAACAATATTGCTGCTTGTATGTTACTAGCTCCACGCTAGTAAATCTCACATTACTCAGTCTTCTTGATTTTCAAGACTCATTTCATTCTACTTCTGCTTCTAACTTTTCTATTCATTTCCTCACAAATTCTGTGATCTATCTCTTCTTTGGCTTAACTGTAAGCTCCTGAAAAAGGAGTGATACAAACACTGTCTAATGTCCCCAGAGTGAGCCAGGTCCTCAGTTGTAATGAGAAAGTCCACATATCTCTTCAGCTCTGATTTGCAAAGGTCATGTTCTTTCCTTATGATTATTTTCCAAATGAAGTGTTTTAAGCATGATGTGAAAATAATAAGGCAAAGCAAAGGAAGAAAATAATTTCACAAAGTTCTTTATTGACATTGCTGCAATTAACACTCACAAAAGCTAGCTGATGTAAATGGAATGAGGCATTGAAAATTTTATGGAAATTAGACCATCAGCCTTCTTTATCAGAATGGTTTGGGTTCCATCCAATGCAAGTCCTTCCTCTTATTCATATACAGCAATAACCCCTGGAGTCTGCTTTGCCAGCACCTTTGGATCTGGTCCTTTCTTTCATGTATTTTTCTTATTTACATCACAAGGTCCACTGAATACCTGTCTTCTCTTTTCGTTGTCTCTGTAATAGCTAAAGGTGTTACTATATGGAGCATGTGAAACCAGGAATGAGTTTCATCTCAGATCTTTGAACACATTGTAAAGTCAAAATTCCATTGTTCTTTCTAATTATGTTTTTATTAAGGACAATGACAGCCTATTGTTCTTTGCATATATGTTCCAAAAATGTGCCGCATTGCTGAGGCAAAGAGAGGGAGTGTTCCAGACTGAGGACACCACACTTACAAATGTCAAATACTTTTACTAGTATCTTAAAACAATCTAAAAATAAGTATGATTTTGAATAATCTAATTTATTTGTGTGATGAATCTAAGTTAAATGTCTCACCATTTACTCTGGGGCAATCGGTTTGTCCTGATTCAGAACACCTACTAAGCCCCAGCAAACTCTAGACAAGCAAAATAATGAAGCATGGAAGAGTTTTCAGGGAGGTCAGATGGCAGAATTTCATATGGAAATAATATCATGATTGATAAAATGGGTAATTGGAAATATAGATATATACATAATTATTAAGATGGCAAATTTCAGGTTAATCATTTTTACTTTATTAATCTATATTATTTTTATGTCCCAAGCCATTCTACCTTCCCATAAAAAACAAATGGATATTTCACTTACCTGTCTCACAGAAAACCAAAACTAACTAATCTTTCTTTCTTTCACTTATTAATATAATTGCTGAAAAATGGCTGCATAGCTTGAAGACTTTCCAAAACTGATACTCAGTAGAGTGCAGGCTTGGAATAACAATGTTCACAACCTCCTGACTATACTCAGAAGTATACCTGGAATACCGGGTAATGTCCTATCATTAGCCAAAGACATTAAGACAAAAATTGCAGAGCTTTCAGAGGACACCAAGAGTTTAATGAGCAAGGTGAGTAGTGTTCTTATCTTCACTTTCCTCATTTATGAATGATATGACTTCTGCAATGTATATTACATTTTTGAAAATGTCCATTTGCAAGAACAAAATTTGACATTCTATCTTATAAATATTCTTAGAACTAATGGATAAACACTAAAGTATAAATTTTTCACAGTAGTTTGAACCGTACCTATAACTCTGGGCATAATGAAATATTCCTGACTAATTCATTAGACTCTCCTAACATGATTAAACCTTGCCAATCAGCATTCATTATCAAGGTCAAACCCATGTCTATGCTCAAATATCAAATCCTGTTGCTTATTATTTAGAGTCATAAAAAGACATATTTCATCTGAAATCAATTAAATGTAAGAACAAAATGGATTTTTCCACTTTTCTGTCACTTATCAGTTGCAAATAACTTTTTGGTTAGGCATAGGACTATGTATCTACATCCCTGTCTCAGTCCTGGGATCTTGTCTGGTTCGAACCTGTTCAAGTTTTTCACATGCTGTCAAAGTCTCTGTGAGTTTATAAGTATATCAGTCCTGTTGTTTGTGGACGATACTGTTTCCTTGAGGTCAGCTATATATTAGCCTCTTACAATATCCTCCCTCTTCTTCCATGTAGATACTAGATCATTGAGAGGAAGGGTTTGATAAAGACATTCTATTTATGGCTGAGTGTGGTTCAGAATCTCTTAATCTCTGTACATTACATAGTTGTGTATCTCTTTTTAATAACTACTGTCAGAAGAAACTTCTCTGATGAGGACTGAGAGATACTCATTTATGGTTATCACAATATTTTATTGCTGTATTAATTTAACAGAATAATGTTAGCAGGTTCTCCCCAAGGTCTGTGACTTATCTATTCTTAGATTCTAAGTTTCATTAACACTGACAGGTATGGGTTCCATCTCATAGAGTGGTGCTTAGATACAATCAAAGAGTGGATGGTGACTCCATGTATATTTTTGCCACTCTTGCAGGCAGGTATTCTCAAAGAGTTCAATATTCTTATTTTTCTCTAAATGTAATTTAATGTATGGGTAGGAAAGAAAAAGCAAACACAATCTATGTAAATACTAACTGATTGTTTATCGGTTTGGTCATCAGGTTAATGGAACAAGAGAAAATGGGGATTACAACATCTGGTCTGGTCTTGAAGATGTTAAGTCATCTGATGAAAATTCTCGCTTTATTGCTCTTTGTAAATTATCATATTGCTTGCATGTTGATATACATACAGTTGACCTTTCTCTTTTCCTTTTGAGGTGTATGGTGCTTGTTAATAGTGACATATGTAAATCCCCAAGAATTACAGATGATTTATGATGCTGCATCCTTCTAAATAGTCTTGATTTTATACATTTTGAAAGTATGCTTCAATGTACTGCGTGTCTCTTAAAAAAATAAATGTTTCATATATGACAAAATTTAAAAAGAAAATTTGTTGGAATCTTTTATTTATTTAGTACTAAATGTATTAATAGCTTTAAGAGATTTCGTTGGCAATTTGTAAAATTCACTACTTACTTTAGAATCATAGTAAATTAATGTTAATGTTGATACAGTGATTAGAATCAGAGAATAAATTCACAATTAAAATATTTCCATGTTATTAAGTATTGGAGATATTGGGATACCTCAAGAAAGTAATTCAGTTTGCCAGAACCTATCGGTTTGGCTCATGCCATAGTTATCCAATAGGTTCTACAAGGCCAGAACATTCTGCATTATGTCTGTGTAAGCTTTGTTATATATTCTCTCTTATCCTTAAGTCAACTGCATTCACCAAAAACCTCAAAGAGGACCACTTGGCATCACACTCAGCAGTCCAGTCTAGTCTTAGAAGCCATGCCCATGTCTTCCCAACCTCCAGGTTTGGGCCAGGATTCACACAGGATTCATCCTGTGTACATGATTAGTCATTTTGTTTCATCAGACCTTATCCTGTCATCTCATGTCATAATCAACTCTCTAGGTCCAGCCAGGCTGGTGCACCCTGTTATCTGCCCTAGCCTGGGGAATGCCCACTCTTGTCCCTAAACTTCCTGCACTCAAGTAAAGCCAAGAGTTTAATAGGCCAGGAATAATTACTAACTGCATTTTAATGTATCCATGCAGTTGTAGGTAAGGAAAGCTCTTACCCCTTGTCAAAGAAATTGCTATCTCAGATTAACTTCTGAAGTTTGATCTCTGTACTCACAGAATAGCTGAAGCTCTGAGGCCTTATTAGAGGATTCCCTTTGTACAGTACATGGTGATTAACAAAGGAATTCTTAAATAATAGAAGTCCAGAGAACAAGTATTAGTGGGATGCTAACTCACCAGTGGTATATCTATATCATGAATATCCCAAGTTCCAGGAAGAGGGGGACAAACTATTAAGAGACAAAGGGCAGTGAGCACCCAGATCAAAGCAGTGTTTTCTGGACAAGCTGTGCTTGTATAAGAACTTTTTACTGCAAGACAGTAGTCAAACATGGAGTGTGGAAGTGACACAGTCCCTATCCCATGACTTAGGAGATATTTATGGTTAATGGCTTCAAAGAAGGGAGGGTATGTGGCCACTTTTAGATAGCCCATATTCCAGTGGATGGCACCAAAACTAGGTTAGCACAAATTTGAGTGGATAATTATATGAAAAAAGATGCTGGAAAAGAAGGAGGGTCAAGAAGGCAGCCATTAAAGAATAATCACACTATATACTAGATAAATTATAATGAAATTTAAAGGTTAAGTAATATTAAAGCATATCCATAAACTCTCTATGCAGAGAACGTGTTTTACCAATGTCCACACCTGAGGAGATACTCATTGTCTCACAGGACACTCTGAGCAGAATTTCAAACAGGGTTAACTATACTCTTGTGAGTAGAAAACTACAAACACAGTTTTATTCATTAAATATTACAAAATCCTCCTGTGTTTGTAGTGGTGAATATTACTGATTTCTATGACTTCTCCTCTTGACTTTCAGAACCCTCCAGCTCCTACTGTGTTTTCTACTCTGAACTTTGATAGCTCACAATTCTAGTTATCTAAAATGACTTAATATATGGTATATATGATATATGGTATGTTTAAAAAGAAAGAAAGAGAAAACACCTAAAAAGTCCTATGTATAACCAACCAGAGGCACATTCTAAAATCAAAATTCTCTGGACTACAGGGAACTGTGGATGGACAAGTACAAAGAAGTGAAGATGAACAAAGTTGAACTTGTCCTAAATGTGAACAATTATACCCTTCTCAAAAATTACATGTGTATAATTCTGTCCTGAACAAAGGAATATACTAAAAGGGTATTCAACAGGATATCTACTACATATCCCCTGTACAGGGTGTTCAACAGGATATCTGATACATATCACCTTGGAAATTTTTGCCTGAGGATAAAGAATTTTTTTTGTCCCAGAATTTTATCTGTGGGAAACAGGTTGCTTGCCCAGGTGCAGATCCAGCCAGAAAATACTTAGTTCAGATAAAAAGCCCATCTACAGAGGGGCAATAAGAAGTAAGAATCTATACTATGTTTGAAGGTATTGTAGCTTGAGTTTATATTGTAAAAGTACTGCTTTGCAACTGGCCCCTAAAGAGGTGCTCATTAACCTGCAGCAGTCAGAAATCACATGAACCTTAGGTGACTGTCGAGGAAACCAGTGGTTTCTGCTATTTCTGTAGGTTTCAGAAAGGCTTATGCTGCACTTCCTGTTTACTCAGGTAATAGTAAATCCTTCGTAGATCTTTGGTGGAGTTGAAGACTAGGTAATCATAGTTGCAGTTCTCCTTAGTTATGATAAAAGGTGAACTATGTACAGAGATTTGGGCACATCAAAATAAAATAAATAATGGATATTTTCCCCAAATGTGCCAAATACAAATAAATGGACTGGACATTGTAAATGTAATTCTTTCCTAGTAATTATTCTTGTTGTTTATCCTTTTATTATTTTAGAGTTAAAAGCTTTCCTTTTTTATTTGAGCAAAAGGGAGGAAAATTGTAGAATATTCCTTTACATTGTGTGAAGATATGGCACAGTGTTTGGCTTAATAAAACACTAAATGTGCAGTAACTAGGCATAATTTTCAGGGCATCCAGAAGGAGAGGAAGTAGCCTGGGGAATACAAAGTAAATGTAACTAAGCCACATAAAAGAATGTATATTAATTCACCAACCCCACATCTGACAGAGGGCTGATTTCCAAAATATAAAAGAACACAAGAAGCTAGTCTCCAAAACACCAAACAATTCAATTAAGAAGTGGCATACAGAACTAACTAGATAATTCTCAATAGAGGAATCTAAAATGACTGAAAGACACATAAGGAATTGATCAACTTCCTTAGCCATCAGGGAAATGCAAATCAAAACAACTATGACATCTTACTCCTGTTAGAATGGCTAAAATCAAAAACACCAATGAGAGTTTATGCTGGAGATGATGTGGAGAAAGGGGAACACTCCTCCACTGCTGGTGGGAGTGCAATCTTGTCCAGCCACTTTGGAAATCAGCATGGCGACTCCTCAGGAAAATGGGAATCAGTCTACAATAAGATCCAGCAATCACACTTTAGGCATATGCCCCAAAATAAGCACATTCATACAATAAGGACATCTGTTCAACAATGTTCATAGCAGCACTATTTGTAGTAGCCAAACCTGGAAGCAGCCTAGATGCCCCTCAACTGAAGAATGGGTTGAGAAAATGTGGTACATTTACACAATGGAGTACTTACTATTCAGCAGAAAAAACAATGGATTCTTGAAATTTGCAGGAAAATGGATGGAACTAGAAGAAACTATTCTGAGGTAACCCAATCACAAAAAGACAAACATGATACGCACTCACTCATATGAGGATTTTAGACATAGAGGATTACCAGCCTACAATCCACAGTGCCAGAGAAGCTAGTAAACAAGGAGGACCCTAAGAGAGACATACATGATCCCCTGGAGAATGGGAAAGGGACAAGATCTCCTGAGAGATGCCCCTCAACTGAAGAATGGGTTGAGAAAATGTGGTACATTTACACAATGGAGTACTTACTATTCAGCAGAAAAAACAATGGATTCTTGAAATTTGCAGGAAAATGGATGGAACTAGAAGAAACTATTCTGAGGTAACCCAATCACAAAAAGACAAACATGATACGCACTCACTCATATGAGGATTTTAGACATAGAGGATTACCAGCCTACAATCCACAGTGCCAGAGAAGCTAGTAAACAAGGAGGACCCTAAGAGAGACATACATGATCCCCTGGAGAATGGGAAAGGGACAAGATCTCCTGAGAAAATTGGGAACAAGGGAGGAGGGGGGAGGGAGCTAGGAGAATGAGAAGGGGAGAAGAGGAGGGTTGAGGAGAACATGAGGGAACACAAAGAGATTGAATCAGGGGAAGAATAGAAGAAAACAAGAAAGGAGATACCATAATAGAGGGAGACATTTTAGGTTTACAGAGAAATCAGGCACTAGGCAAAGGTCTGAAGATCTACAAAGATGACACCAATTAACAATTTAAGCAACAGTGGAAAGGCCACCTTAAATGCCCTCCCCTGATAATGAGATTTATGACTGTCTTATATGCCATCCTATAGCCTTCATCCAGCAGCTGGTGGAAGTAGAAGCAGACACCCACAGCTAATCACTGAACTGAACTGAAATTCAGTTGCAGAGAAGAATGAGTGATAAGCAAAGGTATCCAGACCAGGCTGGCGAAACCCACAGAAGCAGCTGACCTGAAGAATGGGGAGTTCTTGTTCCCCAGTCTGATAGCTGGGATACCAGCATTGTACTGATCCAGACCCCAGGATCACGGGTTTCAGTGAGAAAACGTTGCAATTCTACAGGACCTCCTTTAGTAGTTCAGTACTTATCCCTAGCATAGCTGTGGACTTTGGGAGCCCAATTCACATAGAGGGATACTCCCTGAGCCAAGACACATCGGGGTGGGCCTAGGCCCTATCCTAAAGGATACGATAGACTCTGGTGACCCCCTATAGAAGGCCTCACACTCCCTGGGGAGCAGGGAGGTAGTTGGGGGGGGTAGTAGGGGAAGATGGGAGGGAGAAGGAAACTGGGACTGACATGTAAAACAATCTTGTTACTACTATTTTTTCAGATTTTTTAATTTGAATTAGAAACAGGATTGTTATACATGACAATCCCAGTTCCCTTCCCCCTCCTGTCCTCTACTACTACTCCCCTGCTCCGCAACTAAAGTCCTACCTATCACATATCCTTTCTGCTTCCCCTGGAGTGTGAGGCCTTCCATAAGGTGTCAGCAGAGTCAAGCGTATCCTTTGGGATAGGGCCTAGGCCCACCC